CAGTCTTTGGGGCTGCACAAGGTACACATGACGTTTTTCTGAATTGTGGAAGTTCCTCACGGGGTTTCCGTTTCTATGTCGTCTCGTCCGGTACTTCCCTTTGGGTTGGGGTTAAAAAGCCGCGCGGAAACACGCCATTGATCGCCATTGGGTCCATATCACAATCATAGGTGTCCTTTTTGGTTGATTTGAGGGCCCTGGTTTACCTGGTGTTTTTTCATCAACTACCGGGAAACCCATCTCTTTCCCAAAAAGGACACCTATGATCACAATCGGATTTGGCTCATCACCCAGATGGGCTCGGTCCACAACTACCACATGACCTCGGTGGAATCCAAGAAGCCGGGGGCCTTGGACATGAGAGGCTTTGAAACCAACATGGCCAAAGGGTTCGAAGGGTTGGGTTTGCAGGAAGTTCCGTAGGAAAACATTGAAAACACCCAATATATATATATATATATATATGGGTCTGTGTTTTTTTACCGTGTCAGTTCTTTAGTCTGCGTGGGAGGTGGGGCTTGGGCGAGCCATACCCCCGAATCATACCCCGAACCATACCCCCGAGCCATACCCCGAGTCATACCCCTTAAAAAAAAAAACACACAAAAAAGAACATGCAAGAACTGTGGCATTTGCATGTGATCCATGGATAGCTGGAAGCTATAGGGGGTTTAACTTCAAGTGAAGAAGGGGGTCTTGTCAAGAAACAGTGTTAGAGAGCTTGGCATGTGGACCGATGTGCCAATGGATGGAGTTATAGAGCAATCCTGCGGATGTCCTGGTACTAGAGTTGTCTGTAGCATCCGTGGTGCTGCGGCGGGGGGGTGCAGCTTGACGTAAGACTCTGGGACTTGCAGGGCGCTGTGGCGGGGGGTGCCGCTGCTGAGCTTGAAACTTGGAGCTTGCTTCCCGCAGTCTGTCCGACGCGGTGGAAACAGCTGTCTGTCCTGGGCCACTGTCGCAGTGAAACACAAGCTGTCTTTGTGCTCCTGGGGTACTCTTGGTGTCTTTCCGGTCGAACAAAATCTGTCCCCCGATTCATACCCCCGATTCATACCCGATTCATACCCCGATTCATACCCTTCTGCTGCCATTTGCAGCCAAGAGCCTCTTGCGCTCTGGGCAGTACTAGCGAAGCTATGCCGCCCAAATCCTCAGAAGACACAAAACTCAAAGAGAAGCACTGCAGGAACCAGCTCGCGGCTCTTTTCGCAGAAGTTCGCCAGAAGGTGGGTTCGAAAGGCTTACTACGATGTATCAAGCGCGACACGGTACACCACCTGTAAGAGGCCCACTAGCCTCTGCGCGGCTGCCGTTTGAGGATGTCACGCTGTCTTGCCCTTACGCTGGTTCGTGACTGGTGCGGGTGGCAGGCCTGACTGGGGGCGCTTCCCCTTAAGCAACGCTTGCATGGGTCTGTGAGCACGCGGGTCGCTTGAACTCCAAGTGGAAGTGGCAATGACGTTCGCCTCAGGCAGTGGCTCTGCGCCTTTCACCTAGCGCAGCAGCTTTCGCTAACCCACTCACGCAGAGTGGCACCTGTCTCAGGCCACTCACAAGCGCCCCAGGCTGGCTTGTAGCAACTAAGCGGTCCAAATTCTCACGGCTATCCAGTTGCCAGCGCACGGGAGCTTTGCAGTGTCCAAAGCCACAAAGCAAGAGTTAGAGTTCAGAGGCGCGCGAGCCATACCCCGAATCATACCCGCGAGCCATACCCCGAACCATACCTGCGATTCATACCCCTTATACCAACCTCCCGGCACGGCCACGTCAAAAAAACACATACCCATATATATTTCGGAATTGCGGGGATGGTTTTTCTCTTTGGGGTGGCCTACTAGACTTTCTCTTTGCCTGCGGCACGTTTGCCATCGAATGGGGAGGGGCGGTGTCGTAGTTGCACCCATGGGTCAAGGCCTTGGCCGATTTTGAACTGCCCAAGATGCACTGTTTCCAACCGCTTCCCTTTGAAACAAACCCAGAAAAGGGTAACCTCCAAAAAAATAGACACACCAGTGTAGCTAAGCAAGAGAAAGGCCTTCCCCAAGTTTTGTCGAGGCAAGGTAAGTGCCTTGGGTTTCATGTTTCTTGCGGGGTTCTCATATACCCACTTTAACAACCCCAAGGGTAGAAGTACCTTGCAATGCTAACCCCGGATTAATAAGCCCCTGGTTGTTTAATAGGGGGGTGTCCCCTTGTAGTGCAGATTCATCACTTTGGGAGGGAACGCCCCCCTAAAAATGGGACGGGTTTGTTAATCCTGGGTCAACATTAAGGAGCTTTGACCCCCTTTTCTCTGAAACACCATTAGAAGTACTTGGATCCTCGTACCCCAGAAGGCCCTCAGAACTATCAAGGTTTGATTGGTTGAACGCCTGTTTTATGTCATTTGTGGATTCATGCCCGCCAACGTTACAACGAATCAAGGTTTGACTGGTACGCCTGTTTGATTTTTCGTTTTTTGGGATAGCCATTTGCCAAGCTTCAGATCTGACGCGCTGAAAGGAGAAGAGAACCAATACCCGAGCTTGGCGCTGGTTGATTTTCCCCAGAAGCCGCCAGAAAAATTCGGGTTTTCCGCCGCTCTCTATTTTTGAAAATGGGGGCGGGGGGGTGCAGCTGGAGACCTGTCTGTACCAGATGCTGTGCACTTGCGCACCGCATCACTATGCTCTCCGAACACTTAGTGGCACCACTCGCTTGAGTGGAAGACGCGTATCCGCGAGACGCCTGTTGCAAAACGATTCCGGCCCATTTGGCAATGACCAAGGTAATTAGTCGACAGGGAGAGATGGCTATGTGTTTTGATAGGGAACCACCTCACAAGTTGTTGGGGGACATGGAAGCCCCACCTATTTGATGTCCACCAAAGGGTCCCTGATTAAGTTTTCCTTCCCAAATATGTTCATGCTTGCAACTTGGCCCAGGGCATTGTGGCAAGTAATCTCGGCGGTCAAGCTACGTGGCAGACTGGCGACGCCCAGGCAAGACATCTTTATCGTCAAGTTCAAGAAGCAGGCAAGTGTAATGCACGCCAACAAGTTCGAGACTGACTGGATGAACATGCCTCACTTCAAGGCGCGAGAGAGGGAGAGAGTGAAAAAGAAACGGCAGTGGCTTGCATGGCCAAGGGTATTTGTGTTCTCAGAAATTATTATTGGGACTGTATGGGATGTACTGATGTACTCTGGGAGTTCCTTGCACGGCCAAGGGCATTTGCAGTCTCGGAAATGATGTGATATGTACTGATGTACTCTGGGGCTGAAAGGGGGTACCATCAGTTTTTCCATCTTCACACTGCAGTTCACGGAGAGCTGCATTTGGCTTTCGCCCGCCACTTGTTTCAGCCTGAGCTGAAAGTTGGCCACATCTGTGCCGGAAGTTTCCGCCCTTTTGGGTAGACTCCTCTGACACTCTTGAGGGGTTTAGTTTTCCTGCGACTTTTTTCGAGACAGCGACTCAAAAGCGGCACATCGCCCGTTGTTTTGCGCTTGTGGCATCCTTTAAAAAGACTCCAGGACAGCGTCTTTGTGGGCGTCCTCCCGCAGAATATCGGCAAGAAGACGGTGGGAATGAAAGCGCCGGGCCCCTAAGCTCTCGCCAGAGGTTGAGATCTCCAGCAAGTTTCTGCATGGACCTTCCGGATTTGGCCACTTTTAGGCGTTGTTGTACACTCGGCAAGACTAACAGCCGGAAACTCCCAGAAGGCCTTTGTAAATGAAACCAAGTCTTCCAAAACGGTCCTGGGAGCTTCCATGAGTGGAGAATGAATCGGCGGAACATGAGCGGAAGTTTGCAGCCACACACCAGAACCATTTTCTCATTCAGTTTTCTTTTCATGACCTGCGCGCTTTGGTCTGAAAGTGAGCATGTTACTCCTCGTTGAGCTCTGAAGGGGCGGGCCTAAACCCCATCCGAAATTGGTTTGATCATTTGTTTAGGCACATGTGCGCACGAGTACGTGCACGATGAGAGTTCAAAGGGCAACTCGCCCCTCAAGGTTGGCGCACCTTTGCACAGATTGCTGTTCCGCAACCCGCGATTCTTCGGGGGTAAATCAAGCGATTTCACCCGTTATGGAGGTCCGTTGCGAGGTGCTCCTTGTTTCTATAGGGGAATTGTGGCAAAACGAGGTACTTCTGTTTTGAACTGTAACTGTTCTGGATAAGTAGAGCCGTAGAGCCTTGTTTAAATGTTAAGGATCGGCAATGGATGATTAAGGTAATTAGCCCGGGATGGTTCATGGAGAATGGTGCAACAAGGAATATGGTTGCATGTGAGCATGGACAAGCATCGCTTCAAGCATACATTTAACAAGAAGCGCAGTAGCCAAGAAGTGACAAAAGGCAAAGAAGCCAGAACAACAAAACGAAGCCAGAAAAGCGCCAAAGCCAACAATGCCATCAAAGCCGAGCAATAAAAGCCAGGAAGCCAGAAGCATTGGAAAGCCAGACATAAGCCAAAAGCCCAGCCAACTTCAATCATCAATTCAATCGCTTGTGTAAGGGTTCGTATGTTCCCTGGCCCACATTTTCAAAGTTCACGGCACTGACCCGCATGGGTATGGTTGAGGTCCATGCTGCTGCCACAGAACGAGCAGTTCTACGTCACAGACTCCATGTGGGTGAACTATCAGGAGCAGGCTCTCGGAACCCGGCGCTTTTTTGGGGGAAGGGTTTGTTGTCCTTCTGGGGACAGAAATCCTTTCTTCGATTCATGCTAAATTTGGTTGAGTTAGTTTGCCCGAACCTTTCACATGTATCTTCTTTCGGTGGCAGTAGGAAATTACATGGCATGTGTCACCCAGACGCGCCGCGCCTGGCACCCGTTGATTGCGTGCAATATGCAAAAAGTTGGGCAAAGTGGTTTCGATCACAGGTGACAAGCCGCACTTCTTTGGCAGAGGCCATGTAGAGCTGTAGAACCCTCGGAGAGTGCATGTGAATTTGTCCGAAAATGGAGGCCCTGCATGCAACATGGGCTCTGCATTTGGTGTCCCTTCCAAGCAACCCAACGAAGGTAGCATCAACAAGTGCCACCCCTTAGACAGACCGCGAACTCAGCCAAGAATGATGGAGATGCACCATGAGTTCTTAGGTGAACTCGGTTCTGGATGGTGCATGCCATACTCGCACAAATGTGTTGACTTGTAGGGGGAACAGTCAACGCGACGTGGATATTATTTGAGGCTACATTGCTGACCCGACAATGCTTGCTGCGTCAAATCCGAGTGCTTCCTCAAGTTTCGCCGAATCGCCAAAGGGAGCTAAGCTGCTAGGCACAAAACAAGAACCAGCCAGCGGAATAGTGAAACTCCCCCAGGATTTGCTTTGTACTCGCCTTGAGTATGTCTCAAAATGGCAGCGGCCGCCACGAAGCAGGGCTTGGGTTGTCCTTTTGGCACGTGATGAACGAGCGAAGAAGAGGTTCTGTGGGCTTCCCGCATGGAGGCAGCCCCGTGAATGGGAGGGGGCCCGCAATCCACGTGACCGAATCCCAAGACGATATTGGCGTTCCCTGCCAAAAAGTTGTGGTTCAAAAGGACCCAACCAGGGTTACGCAGATGTTCGTCCCAGTTGCCCAGTGAAAAACCCTTGTTTCCTTTTCTTTTGGGAAGGGTTCCGATTCCTTTAAAGACTGAGAAAAGTCAACCAACCCCAAACAAAAAATCGGAAGCCGATTCCTTTTCTCCCATGGACAATAAATCCACTGGGCATTTGAGTAGTCTTTGGTTTCATGTTTTAAGGCGGCATTTGGGTAACCCCAAGATGGGTTGCAAGCAATGGGAAATGGAAACATGGACTAAAACCTGCGGTCCAATTCCTGGTGGTTTAACAGGGCTCCTTAAAAGATACATGTTGCCCATTAGAAACATGTCTTTGTTTCCACCAAAATGGAGGGAAACCACTCTTTTGCGGGGCAATGTTCAGGTGAGCCACAATCAAAGCCCGGGTAGATGAAGGTTAGTAACGATTACTCCCAACCATAAATAGCTGCACATATCCGTTACGACCATTTTAATACCGGGTTTTGAGCAAGTGACTCAGGTGTGATGCTGGTGCCTTGGCATAGATTTTAAGCTTTGACTATGGGTGCGTGTTTTGTAGGGGATCCAAAGATTGTGGTTGTCCCCTTCGGATGCCCTTTACAACCACATGGCCACTCCATTTTGGGGCGGATGAACACCCGTGTACCACCAATTTTGCAGTTCACCAGGGGTTTCCTGGGTTTTGACAACCACAGCCACATCAAAAAGGGCCATGTTTTAATTTTGACCCACACCCATTTTCGGAAGAGTCCCATCGACCTGTTGCCTTCTGCTTCGCTCGGCCAGAGCGCGGCCTTCATGGGGTGCACGAAGTGCTGGCCGGGCAGCCCGGTTTTTTGCCGTCTCCAGGACTTGACTGCTCTTGGGCAACGGATCTTTAGACTTGAACTTTTTGGAAAATCAACGGGGTCTTCCACTAAACCCCCAAAAGTTAAACTTTTTGCAGGGGGATCAACAGGGTTAGGGTTTGTTTGACTACCCCAAAGACGACGAAACATCCCAGGGGAGTCCCTTTCGGGGAAATCAACCATGGGTTGAAGTCGTCTTCGGGGTGGTCAAAAAACGGATCCCCGGCCTGGAGGCTTTTGCTTTTTGGGGTCGAAGTGTTTGGTCTGCTCTCGTGTGCCAGGGTTGGTCAAAGTACTCTGAAGATGAGCAGCATGGAACCCGCCAAACACGAGACATGTCTTTGCATTGTCCCTTAAACAGGAGTAATAGGGCTTTCCTTATTTGGACTCTCTTCTAAACAACCCCAAAGAAAAAGTGATTCCCCCTCAAAACAACACACCCAGATCCAGATTCCCCGCAGATTAACATGGCACCCCACCGCGCGACTGTTAGAGGAATCTCCGGTTGGGAATTGGACCCCCTCAGGGGGTGTCACGCGCATGTGAGGAGGAGTTCTCAAACATGAACTATCAATGGTGATACCAGGCATAGTATGAGTGATCACGGGAGCCTCCCATGGTACATGACCCAAAGTGGGCTATCAATGGTGGCACATGACTAGGGCTGGGTAACGAACAAGTCAATGTGTCAAGCTTGGTAACTGTAAAAAGTCCATCCTAAAAGATGGCAAAACCTCAACGTGTGGAAACTTGTTTCAGCGGGATTTCTGAAGCATGAATCAAGTTGCTACCCGTGTGAAAAGATTGTTCGGACACCCCCGTTCACCATGTATGAGGTGCATCCCATGGTTGCAAGTCAGGAATGGGCGGATTTGGCACTCCTCAAATTCTAATGCTAGGGCCTTAGGGGACACGTACGGCTATTTTGCTCACCTGACAATGCTACTGGTGTTAATCTATTGGGAAGCCCATGCGGACCACCCAACACAAAAGCCAGATGGGGATCATCTGGTTGTTTGAGACATTGAGCTGTGTTTGTGGGGTGGATATGTATCTCTAAAACCTTAAACTTGCATTTGGGTGGCTTCGGCCATCTTGATTTCTTGGTGGGGACGCACCAGCAAGTGGTTGACCGGCTGCAACATCCTGGCTGAAGCAGATGGGGGCTTTTTACACCTTAACAAGTCTTTGCACGATGCGGCGACTCAGCTTTGTTTCTGTGCTCTTGGTTGCACTTGCTTTGACCAAACCACCCTTGACCATGTTCACTTGTGGGAGCATAACGTTTGTGACTTTGAGCAGCAAGAGGTGTCAGTGCAACCATTGGAGGCCGGTCACCAGAGACCCAGCATTTTGTGAATGCGTTCCCGATTTGAGACCCCCTCCCCCTTATTTCGACGATCTGTTGTATGGCATTTCTGTGTTTTGCAGCGGCTTCGGAACTGGCTGCAACATGCTGTAGCCTGTCCCCTCCTAAAACAGGGTGGAGCTGCGGGCATACAGCGCAAGGGTAGAACATTGGTGTGGCTTCTTTGGGTTTTCCTTTTCCAGGAGCCCAACTTCCTGAAACGATGCTGCCCCACCAATCCACCCCTTATCATACTGGTTTCCTCCTGTTAGGCCTATCTCCTCCGACCCCTGCTCCCTCTGTTTCCTCCTATCAAGTCTTGATTGGGTGTTTCTCAAAATCGTTCTTTTCCTTTTGACTTCCCTTCAAAGCCCAGCAAACGGCTCAGATTCCAACCGGGGTCCAAAACTCATTTTGAGAAACATCCCCAGGGGCTGGGGCAACCGTTTTTTGGGGAGACCCTATATGTGCCCCATTACAGCAATACCCTCTTGTACCAATGGTTGGCCCATTTTATTATTCCAAATGCGTACAACATGACGCATGATATACAAGATAACAAAATCAAGCATGTAGTATATATAATATATAGTCGCTTCCGTTTCGGCCAGGAGTCTAGCCAAGTGGCGTCAGGGGGTGCATACTTACCGCTTCAGCGGCCTCAGTCTGAGCCCCAGCGCGACCGAACGGGCGAGCCGCGCGCCGCAACGCCTCCGGAAGTTTTCATGGGCTCCAAAGCACCTCGGGGTAGTTGGCTCACGAAAAGGGATTCAAAGAGCTCACCTTGTTCGAGGCTTTAGACATATGTTGGGAGTGAACATGGATTGTCTTCAAGGAGCTCACCCTTTTTGTTTGAGGCTTTAGAGATATGTTCGGAGTGAAGGAGAAACCCTAAAGGCCGGAGGAGACTGGTGAAGCCCAAAGGCGTTTCGAGTGGGGAAGATTTCCCGCGCGCGGTTGGAGCCTGGGGCCATCCTGTGACTCTGTGTCTGGGCAAGTAACGAGCTCACCGGGCGCTCACTGGGTTGAACGAGCGTTTTCCGAAGAAGGCTCCTTTCGTCGGTGATCCCTTGATTCCTTGTTAGGGAATCATGATTTGCCCAGATTGAACCGGAATGGCTGCTGCCATTTGGCAAATGCTTTGTTTTCTTTTGGTTTGCCGGTTTGCCATTCAAGCAAACAACAGGGGGCTACCTCAGGAAACGCAGGAAAGCATCCATTTGAAGCGGTACTAGCGCGACATGTTCACATCCTGCGACGCGAGCGGAATCTGCTTTTCTGTTTTTTCTTCTCTCTCTCTCTCTCTGGAATATTCACACGCACCCTTGCGGTTTTGTGGATGTTTCTCGACCAGCCCGTTTCGTTTTTTTTTTTGGCCGCGAACTGCGGCTGCGGGTAGAAAAACTCGGGGTGGGAGTTGGGGTTTGATTCTCACCGCTTACCGGCGAACCTCCGCAAGAGTTGGTCCTTGGGGAGTCCAGAAGGCCTTGCACAGACCAAGTCCCAACCTGCGGCAACTGACATGAGCTTTCCCCTTTTTGTCATTTGGCTTGCGTTCAAGCTTGCATGAGGGAAAAAAATGTGGTGCTTCTCCCTCTGTCATTTCAGCAGTTGCGCTGGTTGCTTCGATTTGCTGAAGGTGATGATGGTTTCGAATGTGGTGATCTGTTTGTCATTCCAAAGTTGCGCTAGTCGCTTCCATTTGCGGAAGGTGATGATGGTGTTGAGTTGGGCATCACTGGCTTAGCTGTTTGGCGGCACCAGCAAATGGTAGGTCAGTGAGCGCCTCACGCATCATGGAGAGAAACCTGGAATGACGACTGAATCGTCCAAAACCGGAAAGAAAAACAACAACCAAGCGACTGAGGGGAGCCACCTTTGTTAGGTTGCTTCTGGGCAGAGTATAGCGACCCCACTGGCCCAACCGGCTGAAGCTTACGGTCCTTTTCACGGGCTCCTTACCTCATTTGGTGTTTCGTGAATTTGCCCAGGTTACGCCATGAAGTTGACCAGACTCCCAGGCTTCACAGCAATTGGACATGAAGCCAAGCAAGCTGGAGGAAGAAGGCATGCTACATGCTGGACGATTGCAGTCAAACGCGTCAAGAAGTTTGTTAAAGGAACAGATGTGTCCGTGCACCTCATTTGCAAAGTGTTTGGCTGCAGTTTGCATCCTTTCCCAGGCTTCATCAACACGACGAGGAGGATCAATGTCCACAAGAAGGACGATGACATTGGTTGTTCTCCCGGCTGAGCCTCATGTCGCCATTTGGGATGCTAGGCGACTTGCCAGGGAACGCTTTCATTTCGCAGGTGTATTTTGCACAGCCGTGTCTGTCTCACCAGGGTCCGTTTATTTTTGTTCGGGTCATCTTACTTGGCACAAAATCGGGCGATATGTGCTTGATGTTGCAAGGGGTGAGGTTGCTTTGCTTTTCTTTTGTTTCTGGGGGAGGTTTTCAGCCTACAATTCATTCTGGACCCCGTGGCACCGGTACCTCACTGCCTTGGGTACATCGCGCCTGGCCAGGAGTTGTACTGGGACATGGACGGCTCCCTCACGGGAATTCCCAACTCCTATACTACCTGGGCGGATGCGCTCGGGTGCCCGTGATTAGACTCCGCGCGCGGGCAACAAAAACTATGGGGGGGTGTCTCGTTTTGGAGGAGGTTGGTTTTGCAGAAACACCAACCGGAGAACACCAACCGGACACCAGCAATCGGGCAAAAATAATATGGGGGTGTCTCGTCTCGGGGGAGGTTACAGGAACACCAACCGGGACACCCAGCAATTTGGGGGGGTTTCTCTATTTTGAGACACCCATAGGTCTAAAATTTCAACAAGCAACTTACCCTTCAAAGGGAAGCCACGGGCACAGTCCAAGAGTGTGTAGTTCAGCCGGTCTCAGGGCAGGCAGGCCACGTCAGTCTGAGGTTCAACTTGCAGCACCCTGGCTGCGACTACACCCAAGTCCTCTTCAACGAGACCGAGGATAACGTTGAAGAGAGCACCTGGTGCGCGTCGCCGGGCAGGATGCGGAGAGAGAGAGAGAGAGCTAGAGAGAGGTAGAGAGATGGATAGATAGATAGATAGGTAGGTAGGTAGGTAGGTAGGTAGGTAGGTACGTAGGTAGATAGATAGATCGAACGGTAGGTAGCTAGGTAGGTAGGCAGGTAGAGTCAGGTAGATAGATGGAAGCATAAATGCATTGATGGAGAGGTATAGATAGATGTATAGAAATAAACATATAGATATAAACAACATATATATATATATATTGAGATTGACGAAGAGATGGAGATAGGCATTCAGACAGACGGAGACGGAGACGGAGACGGAGACGGAGACGGAGACGGAGACGGAGACGGAGACGGAGACGGAGACGGAGACGGAGACGGAGACGGAGACAGACAGAGACAGACAGACAGACCGACAGACAGACAGGCAGGCAGGCAGGCAGGCAGACAGACAGACAGACAGACAGACAGACAGAGCGAGAGAGAGCGATACTGTGAGGGGTGCTTTCTTAGATTCTGCTTTTGTTTTCTTTCTGGGTACCCTTTTTTGAGCCCACCTTTTTTTTTGATCCCTTTGACACATACCCAACATTGAAATGGACTTAAGAGCAGACACTTGGGTCTTCTAGTGTTCGTTTCCCAAGGCCCAAGGCTCACCATGTTTTTGAAGGGTATTTCGGGGCTCCATTTTAGGAAACGCCCAACCTGTGGCTGGTCCGGTTGACTTCCAATTTAGATCAGAATTGATGCTAGCGCTATGGCAACACAGAATTCTGCAAGAAGTCTTCTGCACCTCTTCTACACGTGCTCTGCTCATATGTGTTTAATGTTCAACCCCCCAAAAAGCCGCACCCCCTTTTTTGGTAATCCTTTCCAGAGGTGCATTTGCTTGGATGTTAGGACTTTAGCTTTTTGCCAACTAATGGGTTTGCCATTAAACCACTAAAAGTTAGTCACTTTTAGCAGGGGAGCAGAAAGCAACCGAGTATTTCCTGAACGGGGGTCACATTCTTGCTGTTCAACCAACTGGGATCAAAAGGCCGCATTGGTGTCCCCCCTCCCAGTCCAATGCAATGCTCTGAGAAGTGAACCCTCCCGCTATTTGGAGGATCCTTTGAATCCCAAAGAAAGCCACTCGTTTCGGGGAGCCTTAAATGTTTGGATAGTTTCAGAATCATAGGTTGCGCCCTCACTTCAAGTTGCTGGTCATAATTGCCCTAGGTGTCCCCCCTTGCATACCCCCATTTTTAGCATTTCCAAGACGGTACGAGCGTCGCCTACTTGCGATGGCTGAATCCGGCAGCCCCCCAAAATATGTATATCCCATGCACTTCAAGTTGCTGATCCGGCTCCCGCGCAAGCCCTCGAGTCCACAACAGGTACAGCGTCACGGACAGCATCACGACTGAGCCGTCCATCTTCCTCACGGATCCGGGAGATTACCAGCATTCCAGCCCGGTAGCCCGCGTTTTTTCTTTCTCTCGTTTGCTTTTTCTTTCTCTCGTTTGCTTTTTGGAGCACCATGGTTGTGGAGCATGTGCTTGTAGGATCACTTTCTATGATACGTGTAGTCTAGAGGAATGGCTCTCGTCGGCATCACAGAAACGGGTCATGTTCTGCAACCACGTGCGCCACCTTGAAGCATGAATTTGCATGAAGTCCAGGCCGATGTTGAGCGGAATTGTCAGGCATTCGCATGACGCAGCTGGGAAGTCGCATTGCCCATCTTCTTGTGTTTGAGCTGCCTATGTGGAGGATTGAAGTTTGCAAGGTCCCCCCCATAAAACTCAATGTCGCATAAATGCAAACGCATCCCGGCCCTCGCTCAGGTTTCTTTTTTCCAAACCCCGCATTTTGGTTGTTTTCAAGGGACAGTTCACTGCTGGGGGATATTCCGAACACGCTGGGGGATGCATGGGTATGTGGCGGTTGATCAAAAGGCCCCTGATACATGGGATGCCCATTCGGGAAACCGCAAAACAAGAGGATATTTCAACCGTTACCGTTTCAGTTTGCACTTCCATGCTGCCATGTGCTCAATCTGTATGCGGAGATTATCCGGCTTTTGTCATTGCTGCGGAGCAGGATGAGACGTTTCGTGGCCCATGTCATTTTGTTCTGATCAACCGCCATGTGTCAAAAATGGGGACCCCCAAAAAGAAAAAATGAGCGGCTGAACACCTTCTGCAACCGACCCCCAACATGGTACCCTTGAAAAACACACGGGGCCCCACTTGTTGTTCACCACGAGTTCTTTGGTAGTTTCTTTTTGGCTCCTTAGCTTTTTAAGTTTTTTTTTGGTTTAGTGCTAGTTTCCATTTAACCCACTCAAAGTTCAGCTTTTAGCAGGGGATCTCAGGGCAGCCCAGCTTTGGAAAGCCACTTGGACCGGCCAAGTTTCAGTTGCGCAAGGCTGGATCAAGCAGTAGCAGGGATGAGGTTTCCATGGTAAAGACCTCGGCAGGAGGCTATCGGGCCGCTCGCAAGTTGCGCCAAAGAGGATCTGCAGTCGAAGAGGCTTCGCAGACATGCGCTTGGCGGCGACCGTTGTTTTGGATTACCTCGGCCGGGGCTGTTTTTATATGGACGGCGCTGGTGATCTTCAATTGGCGGGTGCTAGCAGAGGACAGACCAAAGATGTCTGGAGAGGTGAGCCTGCAAAGCAAAGTGCTGGCCCTGGAACGCGACTTGAACAGAGCCAAGGAGGATCTGGCCCAAAAGGACCAACTCCTGGCCGCGTATCGTGAGACAAAGGATCTTGCCAAAGAAAGGGCCAGGCCCCAGCAGCCCAAGCCCGAAGCCAACCTGCGCGGCTTCACATCCAGCTCAGACAGCCCCAGCCCAGTCATCCAAGGCCCAGGCTGGGTTGGGCCAAACAGTTTCGTTGACAGCCTCCTGTCCACGTGGAACCCAGTGGACCAGTTTGTTGGTTGTCAGGTCAAGCCTGTTTCCTAAGAAAAGATCAGCCACCAGAGAGTCCGTTGAGAAAAGCCGGAGAATCTTTGTTTTTCAGGCCCAAAACGTTGGGTTCCAGTGGACAGGAGGTGTTTGTTGCCCTCCTTTTGGTTCTCAAAAGCGGGCGATGGTCGCTCGCTGCCCAGGCTTTGCCACTTGCACCTTCCAAGAAGACGCAGATTATTCCCTCATGGGCGGCCGTGGCAGGGAGGAAGTGGTCAAGGAGAAGTCCAACAAGGAACGCCAACCAGGGGGGTACCATGGGTCGTCTTCCAGGTTCTCAGGTAAACCTGATGGAACCCCAACGCTGAGGGGCCCCCCAAAGTGGCTTTTGTGAACTCACGTTTGTGCGGGCACATCCAAAAAGTGAGATTTGGTGCCCAAGAAGTGGGTTCCGAACCCCTCCGACTCCCCGTTCAGACACCTGCAGGGGCGCTAGATTTTCCTTTGTGCTGCTATTCAACATCACATGTTTGGCCCATAGGTAAGTTGCCCTTGGTGAGAGTGATGTTTCAAGGTGACGTCATGGGGCACCTTGAGCTATAGTGAGTAACAATCGGTTCGCACATGGACACCCCCCAATTGTGGCCCCATCCATCTGGCAAACCTTCAGGCGTCTATCCACTTTGGTAGTTGCTCTTCCTATATCTGTGGGTGGTAATTTCTCTGCCTCGAAGCAGAAGCAAAACTCATAAGAAAGTCCAAATTTACCTGTTGGTTGGGGTTAGCATTACTGCCTAGAGTCTCCGTGACCCGAAATCAAAATGGGTCTATGACCAATTAAGGGGTAATGACCCCATTTTTAAGGGTCATGGAGACTCCAGGTGGTTACTCACTATGCTCATGAGGCGGAATGCTGCCAGCTCTGCCTTGCACGTAATCAGCTCTCCGGCGGCTGCACGGTGGCGGTCTTGAGCTCTGCTGCCGACGTGCCGCCCTCCGCGTGTTGGATCCCCAGCCGAATCAATTCGACTGTTTCTTTGGTGCATTTTGCTTAGATGTTGGGACTTTAACATTTTGCCAACTAATGGGTTTTCCATTACACCACCAAAAGCTAAACTTTTGGCAGGGGAGCAGAACGCAACCGAGGTTTCAACTTGTGTTTGGGGGACGAGTTTCCCAGAATTTTTGCTTGACTAAGCGAAGTTTCCTCTTCGGGAAAAGATGTTCGATTTTGGGGGGGACCAGACTTCTCTTTGAAATTTCAATTCTCAATCAAGAGGCTTCTCTTGAACAAAGTTGTTTCAGCTTTTTGTGGGACGAGTTTCCCTGCAGATTAACAACACAAGCTTTCCTGATATGTTTGGGAGTTTCCCTTTATATAGAATCTATCAAACAAATCAGTTAGGATAATTCCCTTTTAGTTGCACCAACCAGAAGAGTTCTCTCAACCTTGTTCGGGCTTCGGCTTTTCCTTTCAATCGACTCAGCAGGAGTTGTGTGCACTTCTTGTTGGGACTTTCTGTGAAGCCCAAAGCTTCCCCAGAAGCAGCTTCCCTTTTAAAGGCTTTTTTTTTGGGGGGAGGCCCAGGTGGCTCCAGGTGGCTCCCCTTTTTGTTTCTTTTTCCTTTTTTGGGGTCCCCTTGGTTTCTTGCGGGGGTCCGAAGGCGAATTCCAGCCCGAACGAAGGCGCCGATCCCTTAGCGCCGATGTCTTTGCCCGAGGATCAAAACGGTGGCTCCCGGTGGCCGCAGTGCCGGCCTGAAGCCCTTCCGGAAGATTGGGGTGGTGTCGTGCCTGCCGCAGGCCATCGGTCGACGGTGCTGACTTTTTTTTAAGGCGTTTCGTTTTTGTGTTTTTCACAGAGGGCCACTGGTTGACGGCTATTTTGTTTGGCGTTTGTGTTTGTGTTTTTGTTGTTTTTCACGGATGGCTGGAGCAAATGTGTAATTCCCCCTAAAAATTCGTAGAAACCGGTCAAATCACCCCTAGAAACTTGTGAAGTCCCTTCCTTTTCACAGATGGCTTGCGTGCTCTTGGCGTTGATCTTTGGATTTGTTAACTTTTGGGGAAGTTTGGGGGTTTTCCATTAAACCCGCAAAATTTAAACACTTTCTGCAGAGGTGTCAGCAGCAACCAAGATGGGGGTCGTCAAAATCAGGGCCCTTTTTGGTATTCCCTTTAGAAGGCGGCACAAGGCAGCAGCAGGGTCCAACTAGGCGCCAGGCCATATTTTGACAACCTCCCGGATGAATCAGGGCTCCTTAAAAGATCTCCATTTTGCAGCCATTTGAAACATGGCTTTTCCACCAGAATACAGGGACACCACCATTTACAAGGCAATGTTCAGGTGTATAATGTAAGGACCCCTGTGAATCTTTGTGCCTGTTTGTGCTATTTCTTGTCTATTATGTCTATATACATATATGGATATATATATATATGTATATATTTGTTTAAATATACTCCATCCATTCGCTATAAAAAGGGGGTGCTTTCAAAAAAGCAGGTCCCATGGCGGGCCGCTCTCTTTTTTGAAGGGGACCGCTTTTCGGGGTCGTGACAAGGACACCAAAAGAAAACCACCTATTTCAGGGGTTCCTGGTTCCCCTCTTTGACTGAAATCCTGGTTTTTCATGGTACCCTGAACTGGGCTTCGGCTTCCCTTCGCGTTAAACCAACCTAGGGGCACTCTTAGCAAACACGCAGAAAACAACACATCACAGCACAACACAACAGAGCGCAGCACAGCACAACACAAGAGACACAACACACAATACACAACACAACAACTGCCAAACCCAAATTTTCAGGGTTTTAGGTTGGCCACTTTTAGCGGGAAATCAGAAAACGGACAGGCCAGGGGAGGGAAGCCGAACGCGCAGGGGGAGAACGTCCCAACCTTGCCGCCTGCGCCGGACACCGGGGTGCTGCAGGAGGGGCTGGTTCAGCCGCATACCAATACACGACTGCTACCCCAAGTGTGTGGGAGGGGCTGGTTGAGCTGCATGCCAATACCCCCACAACTGCTAGTGGAGGGCATGTGTGGGTGTTGGTTTTTGGGGGGCTTGCCTTGTTGGGGCTGGCGTTGAAGGGAAGTTGACGAATCCAATACAGTTTTGGAGCTTGTCCTGTTCCATGAAGTGCGTGAGTTGATGTTCAAACAGTGGCGCCCAAAGCCCTGACTGGTTGGCCCGGTGGTACCTGGTTCAATGGGCTTATAGTCAAGTCTGGGTAAGCCTTATACAATCACATTGGTAGAACGATAATTGGACTTTGGTGCTCTTTGTTTACACCAAGGGTGCAGAACACCATAGGCATGGCTTGCTGGTGCTCAGTAGGGAACAACCTTCCGGGTGTTGGGAATGCTTCTACAAATTCCCCCAAAAGGAAACCACAGGACGGCTTTTCTCGGGGTCATTCCGTTGCTCACTCCCTGAGCAGCACGAAAGGTTCTTCAATGTCCTTTTGGTGTCCCTTAAACCCGGAGGGATCAACTGCTTTGGGTTTGGTTCTTTTTGGAGGTCATTCCATTTATCTTGGGGTCTTTCCTTGCGGCTTTTCCTTGGGTCTTTCTGCTTGCCCCTACCAAGCACTTGGCGTCCCTTTCAGCCCAGAGGGGCCAACTGACTTCCTATTGGCGTCCCTTAAACCCAGAGGCGCGTCCAAGCGTTCAACCATGGTTGTTGTTTGGAAGCATTTTACATTTTTGCTTATTGGGTTTTGGTGGTTGAAATCGCAATCCAGCCACTCAACTGCTAAAATTTGAAAATTGTTGGTTCCCTTCGAACGTCAACCCAGCAACCCAGGACGTCCAGGTTCTCCGATTTCCTTTTGGTGTCCCTTAAACCTAGAAGGATCAACTGCTTTGGGTTTGGTTCTTTTTGGGGGTCAGTCCATTTATCTTGGGGTCTTTCCTTGCGGCTTTTCCTTGGGTCTTTCTGCTTGCCCCTACCAAGCACTTGGCGTCCCTTTCAGCCCAGAGGGACCAACTGACTTCCTATTGGCGTCCCTTAAACCCAGAGGCGCGTCCAAGCGTTCAACCATGGTTGTTGTTTGGAAGCATTTTACATTTTTGCTTATCGTGGTTTGGTGGTTGAAATCGCAATCCAGCCACTCAACTGCTAAAATCTGAAAATTGTTGGTTCCCTTCGAACGTCAACCCAGCAACCCAGGACGTCCAGGTTCTCCGATTTCCTTTTGGTGTCCCTTAAACCCGGAGGGATCAACTGCTTTGGGTTTGGTTCTTTTTGGGGGTCATTCCATTTATCTTGGGGTCTTTCCTTGCGGCTTTTCCTTGGGTCTTTCTGCTTGCCCCTACCAAGCACTTGGCGTCCCTTTCAGCCCAGAGGGACCAACTGACTTCCTATTGGCGTCCCTTAAACCCAGAGGCGCGTCCAAGCGTTCAACCATGGTTGTTGTTTGGAAGCATTTTACATTTTTGCTTATCGTGGTTTGGTGGTTGAAATCGCAATCCAGCCACTCAACTGCTAAAATTTGAAAATTGTTGGTTCCCTTCGAACGTCAACCCAGCAACCCAGGACGTCCAGGTTCTCCGATTTCCTTTTGGTGTCCCTTAAACCCGGAGGGATCAACTGCTTTGGGTTTGGTTCTTTTTGGGGGTCATTCCATTTATCTTGGGGTCTTTCCTTGCGGCTTTTCCTTGGGTCTTTCTGCTTGCCCCTACCAAGCACTTGGCGTCCCTTTCAGCCCAGAGGGACCAACTGACTTCCTATTGGCGTCCCTTAAACCCAGAGGCGCGTCCAAGCGTTCAACCATGGTTGTTGTTTGGAAGCATTTTACATTTTTGCTTATCGTGGTTTGGTGGTTGAAATCGCAATCCAGCCACTCAACTGCTAAAATTTGAAAATTGTTGGTTCCCTTCGAACGTCAACCCAGCAACCCAGGACGTCCAGGTTCTCCGATTTCCTTTTGGTGTCCCTTAAACCCGGAGGGATCAACTGCTTTGGGTTTGGTTCTTTTTGGGGGTCATTCCATTTATCTTGGGGTCTTTCCTTGCGGCTTTTCCTTGGGTCTTTCTGCTTGCCCCTACCAAGCACTTGGCGTCCCTTTCAGCCCAGAGGGACCAACTGACTTCCTATTGGCGTCCCTTAAACCCGGAGGCGTCCAAGCGTTCAACCATGGTTGTTGTTTGGAAGCATTTTACATTTTTGCTTATTGTGGGTTGGTGGTTGAAATCGCAATCCAGCCACTCAACTGCTAAAATTTGAAAATTGTTGGTTCCCTTCGAACGTCAACCCAGCAACCCAGGACGTCCAGGTTCTCCGATTTCCTTTTGGTGTCCCTTAAACCCGGAGGGATCAACTGCTTTGGGTTTGGTTCTTTTTGGGGGTCATTCCATTTATCTTGGGGTCTTTCCTTGCGGCTTTTCCTTGGGTCTTTCTGCTTGCCCCTACCAAGCACTTGGCGTCCCTTTCAGCCCAGAGGGACCAACTGACTTCCTATTGGCGTCCCTTAAACCCAGAGGCGCGTCCAAGCGTTCAACCATGGTTGTTGTTTGGAAGCATTTTACATTTTTGCTTATCGTGGTTTGGTGGTTGAAATCGCAATCCAGCCACTCAACTGCTAAAATTTGAAAATTGTTGGTTCCCTTCGAACGTCAACCCAGCAACCCAGGACGTCCAGGTTCTCCGATTTCCTTTTGGTGTCCCTTAAACCCGGAGGGATCAACTGCTTTGGGTTTGGTTCTTTTTGGGGGTCATTCCATTTATCTTGGGGTCTTTCCTTGCGGCTTTTCCTTGGGTCTTTCTGCTTGCCCCTACCAAGCACTTGGCGTCCCTTTCAGCCCAGAGGGACCAACTGACTTCCTATTGGCGTCCCTTAAACCCAGAGGCGCGTCCAAGCGTTCAACCATGGTTGTTGTTTGGAAGCATTTTACATTTTTGCTTATCGTGGTTTGGTGGTTGAAATCGCAATCCAGCCACTCAACTGCTAAAATTTGAAAATTGTTGGTTCCCTTCGAACGTCAACCCAGCAACCCAGGACGTCCAGGTTCTCCGATTTCCTTTTGGTGTCCCTTAAACCCGGAGGGATCAACTGCTTTGGGTTTGGTTCTTTTTGGGGGTCATTCCATTTATCTTGGGGTCTTTCCTTGCGGCTTTTCCTTGGGTCTTTCTGCTTGCCCCTACCAAGCACTTGGCGTCCCTTTCAGCCCAGAGGGACCAACTGACTTCCTATTGGCGTCCCTTAAACCCGGAGGCGTCCAAGCGTCCAGGACCACGAGAAGGGCCTGCTGGCTCTCCAGCAGCTGCCTGCCTCCGGCGGCGCCTTGGCGCGCGCCAACGCGGTGAAGGACTCCATCCGCCATGCCTGGTCCAACTACAAGCAGTACGCCTGGGGCATGGACGAGCGCCCCGGTTTTTCCGGAAAACGTGGGAAATATGGGCGGGCGCGGCTTTTTTTTGCTAAGGATGCGTTTTTGTTCTTCTTTGAAACTCAACCAACGGAAAAGGGTGCCCTTGTTTCCCCATGGCCACTGGGCACCTGAGCGGTATGGGGAGGCCCTTTTTGCAATGCCCCCCCTTTTTGGGGGGTCCCCTGTGAAACAGACACCCCCACGTAGAAAGGATTGTTAATAGGACATGCGGTTGGTTGGTAGACATGAATCCCCACCGAACGTTGATGTGCACCAAAGGGTCCGCAATGCATCATCATATCCATATCCATTCACTGCGCCTCAAAGCAAGACACAAAATAATGATATTCAGTTTATGTGGCCCAGTTGCCGTCAAAGGAAGCCACAATGGAGATCCCGCCTTGGGAGGAGCAAGCAGATTGGATCCCAAAAAGACGCATGTGGTTGAACCCATGCTGTTTAAGCTTTCCCCAAAGGATGACGACTTTAGGAAAGATAAACTCCAAAGACTCTACTGCTAAATCCCCTGACGGTTCACCTTTCTTGAAAGGAGTTGCGTTTTTGTTTTAAGGAACTGCACTTCCAACATGGTATGCTTACTTGTCCGACCAACGTTCAACATCTTGCTCGCTTGGGTGCGGGTTGGGACATTGACAAAGTTGCTTGCTGGTTGTTCAGAGGGTTGGGCTATTCTTCTTCAATCGACCAGCTGGTCCACTTGAGGGGAGAAACCACCAGGCTCTTCAAGCAGATGTTTCACCATGATAAAACAACTATTCTTCAAGCAGATGTTTAACCATGTTTAAACAACTATTCTTCAAGCAGATGTGTCACCATTTCTTTAATCAACAGGTTCTTCAAGCAGATGTGTCGCCATGTTTAAACCACCACCCCCTGGCCATCCTTTGGGGGTCGTTGAATCACTCGCTTCCCCTCCCCAGCAGCCGGAGGCTCCCGGGACTCCTGGGGCTTCCGGCGGCGGCCCCTCTCGGGCCGTCCGTCCTCATGGGATGGCTTGGTCGGGGAAAAATTTGCGCCACGGATCTGAGATTTTTCGAGCCACGAAGTGGGAAACCACTTAAGATCTTAAGATCTGATATTTGATTCAACCCAGGAGATGGGAGAAAAGCGACCCATGGTCAAAGCTGGGCGCTAAATCGAGTATTGATCAAGCCCCAATAGTGGACCCAAAAATATGATACCCTTCCTCCAACTAACATGGCACCTGTGGGAGGGTACCTGGAAGATCAATTTACTCTCCAAGGGGCCCTTTGTCAGAAGCCATGTTAGTGGAAGGGAGGATATTTGAACCACATCTATTTTCTAGTATGGGTCAAAACTGGTGGCTCTACATGGAGTATTGATCAACCCCCAATAGTGGCCATGTAAGCCCACAGCACCCCGGCCCTGCGACCAAAAAAAATCGATTTGCAGGTTGCTCAAAGAAGCCCAAGCCAAGCACCCCAGCCCTGCGACAAAAGACGAATCGAGTTTGCAGGTTGCTCCCGGTGGCGGGGAAGGGCCGCAACCGCGGCTTCAACTTGGCCATCACCATGGTGGATTCCCTGGACACCCTGTGGCTTGCGGGCTTGCGGGATGATTTCCATGAGGCTGGGTGGAATGGGAAACCCAACATTGCTGGTCAATTGTCCTGTCCTGTTTGTTTGCTTGCTTGCTTGCTGGGTCCAAAGCAAGAGGAGGGACTTGCGGCTTGACCATGTCCAAATGATGGGAAAAGCTGCTTCCCGGTGCCGCAGTTTGTTGTTTCTTCGGTTTTAAACGGGGCCATCTTTTCGGGGCACACCGAATCGAGTAGAACAATGATAGCAGAATGAGTTTCGATTTGCTCTTGGTATGCTGAGTTTGTTTTCTCAAAGAAACCAGAGCATTAGACAAACGAAGCCATGTGTGGGTGTCCCAATATTTTGACACAACTGCTCTTGGGTTTCTTTCACAGGGACACCTTCAAGGAAAATGCCTCTTCCGTCCCGAAACAAATTTATAATGGGGCGAAACCAATGAGGCAAGCCCCAAATGGCTTGCTGGTGCGATAAGTAGGGGCCCTGAGAAATGGAAAGAACACAGTTGCCTTGGTCCCCGAAAAAAGGACACCACCAGTTGGGTTGGTTTTTTCCTGGGGTCATTCCACATGGCTGTTGTTGGGACACATTTTGCATTGTTGCTTGTACTTAACTGCTAAAATCTATTTTTGTTGCTCCCCTTTCCAAGTCACTCAGGTCCATTTCTCAGGGCATTCCATTTATCGTTTACCCATTTTTCCCCTTGGGATTTTCAGGGCCCCACCTATCGCACCAGCACCGCACCGGATCGCAGCGATCCCCGAGCGAGGCCAAGGACTGGCTGGCCTCCAACTTCCCGCAGAAGATCGACGCCATGGGGAACGCGGTGTCGGTCTTCGAGACCACCATTAGGCACTGAGTGAGTTCCAGTGCCGGGGGGGATTGACTTGGAGAAGCAAAAAGGTGGTGAAGTTGTAGGCTGAGCGAGTGAGTTGGTATGTGCAAAAGCAGGGGGGGAGGGGATTGACTTGGAGCCCGCCCGAAAATGGTGGTCCCCGTTATATAGTACTGAGTTATAGAGCGCGGGGATTTGGAGCCCAACCAAAATGGTGGGTTGTTGTTCCGAACCTTTTTTTTCCGCTTTTGGGTGTGATCTTTGGACTTTATAGCTTGTGGGAAACAGGGGATTTGTCATTGGACCCACAAGAAGCTAATAACTTTTTGCAGAGGGGTCAACAGCAACCAAACTTCCGTTCGGTGTTTTGAAAAGGCGACCGGGGCATCAACAAAAGGTTCACCTGGCCCAGGTGTCGTTTTGTCACCTTGGCTCCCAGCGTTCGTTGGAGAAATCGCCCGGAGAAGGGTTGGCAGCTTCAAAGTAGTCTTGGGAGTATCTTCAATGTTCCGATTGGTTTCTCTTCAAAATCACCAAAGGGGCACCCCTCAAACAAGAGACCCCGCTGCAACCCAGACAAATTGACTTCCCTCAAAGGCGCCGTGACCACGAAGATGCCACGATCTCAGGTGAGTCACTTGCTCAAAACCCGCGTAGACGAAGGTTAGTACGGAAACGATCCCAAGCATAAGTCGGTGCGGATATCCGCCGAGACTTCATCCTTCTGGGGTTCAGCCCAGTCATGGGGTTTACAGCAACCAGGTCCCCCAGTACTGCCATTTGACCCTTTTTGGGGTTTTGGGTTTTTCTACTACAATCGGGCTCGGATCGAACCGAACCCGCCAGGGCGCTGGGGGGCCTTCTCTCCGCCTACGACCTCTCCAAGGACAAGGCCTTCCTGACTCTGGCGGAAAAGCGGCCTGGACGCATTTCTACCCAAACCGCCCGAGGGGTTGGTTCCACCTGGGAAAAGCACTCTTTGGAGAACAAAAGTCGTGTTTATGCTGCCTCAAAAATTGTTTTTTCCCTCGGAGTGGAGGTGGATTCCAACCAGCCAAGATGGGTGTCGATCTTAGCTGGATTGACACTTCCTTGTTTTGGTGGACTGTCAAGCAACAAAAAAACGGGGGGCTCCTTCGATTTTCCTTCTTGTCTGCATCTTCAAGAAAAGCACATATTGGAAGCCAGGCATTGCTTCTATGTCTCAACTTAACCTTCGCCTCACCTTTTGACAGGCGTCCGCCTTTGCAATGCCCGCCCCCTCCTGACTTCTGGTTCTTTTTCCAGGCCACCTAGAGATTAAGCAACTAAATCCTGGCCCGTCTTTAAAGGGAACAAATTGATGTTGCTGAAGTTCAACAACAGAACAAACAACAGGTGTTCAGTCAGAGATTAATCATGTTTCAACAGGGGGCACTGTTGTGAAAAGTCACTCTTCCTGTGATACTATGGGCCATTCCATGCCATGTGCATGACTACTTTGTCACTGGGGATTTCATTGGTCACAGAAACCGTGTCTAAAACTCCGTGCGCCACAACCGTGAACGTATGTCGTTTTTCAGGGTCGGCAAAAAATGACTATGGATTAGACTCAGCCCACCCTCCCCCCCCCCCACCCAACCCCACCCACCCCACCCCACCCTCCCCCCCCCACCCACCCCCACCCCACCCACCCCCACCCCACCCCCACCCCCCGAAGCCACCCCAGGCTGGGCCGGCGAATTCTGCGGACGGTCACCGCCCGGGGCGTCACGCCCTACACCTTCGGTGGCGGCCGCGGCGGAAGCTCCTGCCCAAGCCTCGCGGAGTCTGGGACGCTGCAGCCACCCGAAGCAAGGGAGTGAAGTGGAGGGGGTTCTTAAGATAGAGCTCCCCCGCAATTGGTGGGGTTTCGTTTGGTGTCCTGCCAGTCAATTAAGTACGAACCTGCTCACCGCTTCAGAAATACTGAGTGGTTTTCCTTAGAGTCCGTTTTGTTTGGCTTGGTGGCTTCCCCAAACAACGGCAAAGGTTCCACCGGCGCGTAACCGCGCAGCAACAAGACACCGCAGTCTGGCATCGCTCATCTCACGCGCGGGCCATTCAAAATGCATCTGTTCGGGCCACAAGTTGATGGAGGCACTGGCGTCTATCCAAACATGGGGCGTCTCGGTTTCCAGCGATTGTCGCGGACAGAAGCAGGAAAAGCTTTCTGCTTTTCACATCTTCAGCCATTGCTTGTCGACGTCAATGTTTAAAAGCCACGGGGGCCGTGGCATAGAGGCCCGAGCTTCGTCAGCTCAAAAGATCTCAACAGTTGCTACGACAAGATGGTACCATGGAGCGTGCTCAGCAGCAAATGCCTGCCATGTGCGCCAATTGACCTTCCAAGGGAGCCATTGGTGTTAAGTCCCAAGCCCGGCCGGCCAGGCACGAGTCGCTCACGAAGCGTTAGCTCAGCCAGATTCTTTTTCAAGCCGTTTGAGCCAATGGGGTTTAGCGGCCATTGTCCAAGAGATCAATTTCCGGGTTTCGCTGTTGAGTTGTCTTTTGTTTGCGGGCTTGGCAGAGAGAGAGAGAGAAAGAGACAGATATATCTATATCTATATCTATATATATATATATATCTATATATATATGCATACCAACGGCAAGTCCTTCCTGCCGACACCCCTGCTTTACAAGGTGCCCTTTGCCAGTCCCCTTCTACAGAATGCTCTAATGATCATGCGAATGGGGCAAATGGAATCCATTGCAGTCCGCGCACTCAGTTTGGCACTGGGCACAACACCTTTGGTGCATTTTGCTTGGATGTTAGGACTTTAACTTTTTGCCAACTACTAAAAGTTAAACTTTAGCAGGGGAGCAGAAAGCAACCGAGAAACATCAGGCTAGAGATGCGGTATCTCTCCCATGCAACCGGGGACGACGTGTTCGCCTTGAAGACTATGAAGTTCTACGACACCGCCACCTGGGCTCATGACTTGGACATATGGGCATGGGTCAAAATTAAGCCATCAAAAAACCGCAGGTTTTAGTGCTTAGTTCCATTTAGCGGGGTTCCATTTTGGGCACCCAGTTTTGACCCAGACCCATATTGCTTGGAGTTTGTTCCCTTTCAGCCCAAACCTATTAGGGGTTTGACACTGGAGCATCTTCCCTTTGGCCGCACCACTTGGGTGACTCTGACAGCAATACGAACCATAATTTCCACCTCCAGAAAGGGATGTTCTGAGTGAGTTTTCGCACCCCCAACCGCTTTTGCCCCATTCCCACTCTGAAACCTGAGCAAACATGGAGAAATCAACAGCCACAAAAGAACCCCTACTGTATTAGAATCTGAACATCTCAAATGTTTGCTCTTTCTTCTTGCTGGTGCTCAGGGAACGAGGGAATGAACCCGGGGAGTCCTTTACGAATAAAGGAGACCACCAGTTGGATGGTTTTTCTGGCCATTCCATAACTCTCATTCCCGTCTCTCGCACCGATCGCAAGCCTTGCGGTCCAACGTCTGAGGTCAAAAACTTCAAGTCCTTGGAGGGGCTGTGGCCCAACTGCTTCGAGAAGGAGCGGGGGAAGATCACCTTGGGCGCCGATGGGGATTCCTTCTATGAGTACCTCCTCAAGGCGACCGGTCCTAAAAGCTTCCCCTTCGGCTTGGGTTTTGTATATATATATATATATTATATATAATATGCTACCCCCCTTGGAATCCCCAGATTGTGCCCTCTATACTTTGGTGCATTTCGCTTGGATGTTAGGACTTTAACTTTTCGCCAACTCATGGGTTGTCCATCAAACCACTAAGGTTAAACTTGTAGAAGGGGAGCTATATATATATATATATCAGCTTTTTGTCACATAGGTGAGTCGTCCTTGTTGATGATGCTTCAGGGAAAATACGGTGAAAATCTGAGGTTTGGGCTTGGAGGAGACACTCGAGTTCTGCCGCTCACTCTTCAAGTGACAGTGTTGTACATGTTTGCGATTGCCTAACCCGGGCCAGAATCCAAAGGTGACATCCCCTAGTTGGCGAAAGCTTAGCCAAAGCTGGTGTCCTCAAGAAGACCTCAGCTGGTGTCCTCAAGAATACCTCAAGGCCCTCGTGGTTTTATGTGGCTGTGGCTCAAAATGAAACCACCAATTGGACCGCGGCTTTTAAAAAGGTCCATGCTTCCTCTTAGGGCAAGCCATTTTGGGGTTACCCAATTTTTGACCACCGCAGCCAAGTGGTTTCCCTCAAGCCGCGCGGATGTCCAGCTTGTTCGCCTGGAAGGTGTGGCTGCAGGGGGGGCAGCAAGAGAACGAGCAGTTCCTGAAGGCGATGCCCCCTGGCTCCTGGACGTTTTTTTTTTTTTCAGCCCCGCTGTCGGTATCTTCTTGAACACCACCCCAACAAAGGGGGCATCCTCTAAAAAAAGCTGGGGGGGGGGGGGCCCAGATGTCCACCTCCCGAGTTCCTCTTGAAACGTTTCGGGGCTGGACCATTTTGGTATTTTGGTGGCAAATGAACAGCTTGCAAAGCTTCTTGTGGCCTGTCCACTCAGGAAGTGAGTGACCTGTAATCTTGCTTGGGGAAAGCATTGCTTTTACACTACCCTGCAACAAATTAAGAGTGAAACATTCTGCCCAGCAATGGCCACACAGAGCATGTTCTTTTTGAGTTTGCGTTTGACTTCCTTTGCTTTCCCTTCAGTTTCCTTGAGGTGTCTCTTGGTTTTCCCTTTGGTCTCTGACATGTCACTGAGGTACGACGACGCCGTGCGCGGGGTGCAGAAGCACATGGTGCGGAAGGGCACGGACGGCTTGACGTATCTGGGCACCGTGACCTGGGACTCCCACACCCAGGCGGCCTCCTACACACCCGAGATGGAGCATCTCATGTGCTTCGTGCCCGGCGCCTTGCCCCAAAATTGGCCGAAGTGGTTCTATGCGATTCGAAGTTTCTTTGGCGTTCTAGTCAGGAACAGAACCCTAACAACTAAAATCTGGCCCGAAAGTCGTCGTTTAAAACCCAGCCTTCAAGGGTAAATATAGGAATAGACTCTATTTCCTATATGTTCCCTTGAAGGGTGGGTTTTAAACGACGACTTTTGGGCCATATTTTAGTTGTTAGGGTTCTGTTCCTATTTCCCGTTGAAGGGTGGCTTCATTGAACACCTTTTGGGCCAATCTAAAAAGGAGGTTGCTCATGGTGGGGTGATGTTTAAGGTGGAAATATAGGGGATCCCTGGTGATTCAGTTTCTGTGATACCAATATATTTCCCTTTGTGATGAAGTAGTCGTGGAAATCAACCCCTTTGACATGGAAGAAGGTATGACTTGCCACATCTGCCAAAGTTGTTGAAGTTCTGGAACCCGAATGAGGAGCCAACTTGGGTATCAACCCCCCGCAGGTTCAACGGTTCAACCCAATGGCAAGGACCCAATTTGGATGAAGATCCTTGCCATGGTTATCCAATTTGGGGCGTTGAACTGGTAACCAGTTATCTTTGCCATAACCCAATTTGGTAAAGAATGGTGGTTATGATAACCCCCATTATTTCAATGGCGGTACCTGAGCCCAAGGGAAACGGTTTGGTCAAAACCCATATAGGATTCCAACATGAACCCATCGGCGATAAAAAGCTAAGGCCACTCCCAAAGGCCAATCAGAAGATCCAATGCCCCCTGCTTACTCAAAGAACGGAGCCTCATGGGCCTGATTGTCCACCATCCGATGGACCCCTGCCCCTTCTTTTCGAAAGTTAGACCCTAGACTTCTTTGAGGAAACCAGGGGGTTATGGAAGGTTAGGGTCAATCTTCCCCTGGATCATTACGCAAGGTTCCCCCCACGAATTCATGGGCTCTACAACTAGCAAGCGGCGAAAACGAACATCAGCATTGCCCTGAAAAGAAGGAGGGCTACTCCGAGCTGCTCCCATTCTCTGTTGACCCCCCAATTTTGCCAAACAAACGGATGCAGGGCTGGAAACCGTTTCTGGGACACCTGGCCAGAAACCAAGAAAAACAACCTCGAGGGTGATGCATTCTGGGCTCACTCGCTTTTTCTGACCAATCCACTTGTTGTTGTTTTTCATTTTTTTAACGGGCAGTCAGGTTTTGCCGTCAGCCCAGGGACTTGTTCTCTTGACTGCTATTGGGTTGGATCTTTAGACTTTTCCTTTTTGGTTGAAATCAAGCCGGGTTTTTCCCCGAACCCCACCAAAAGTGAACAACTCTTTGCAGAGGCATCAGCAGCAACCAAGGTATGGGGTTCCGCTCTTTTTGCGCAGGATGGTTGCCCCTTGGGTGGTTTTTTTAAGATCCCGAAGGAGCAACCCAGGACCCAGTTCTGAGCCTCGAAGCCTCGGGGCTTTCGTTGTGAAGCCGAGGCTGGCTGGCGCTGGGCTCGCGGAAGCCGGGGACTGGAAGCCGGGAGGCGCGGGTGGGTCAAATTGGCGCCACGTTGGCGTGGCGCAAAAGTCGAGAAGGGCAAGCCGCAGATTTGAGTCTCTGGCTCCATTTGCCAACGTGCCATGTTGGCTTCTTCTTTTTTGAGCCGCAGCGACATCCGCTGAGATGATGGCAGAAGAGGAATCACTAGGTCCTCCAGTGCCCTTTGACCGTTTCTTTTTTGGGGAGGGTTCCACTAAAATAGACAAAGCAGAAAAACGGGTACTCTTATTCTAACCTCTCTACTGGAGGACCCAGGTGTTGGGCCACACCGTGGTTGTCAAAACGAGTGGGATACCATTTTGGGGTAGGTGCACCTCCCTTTATAGAACCTATTTGAGTGGGGATTGAGATGTTCACTGGGGGTACTGACCCATGGCCACATCCGCTGAAAGGATGGCGCGGGAAAGAATGACAGCCTAGGTGTAGTCTTTGCACGTTGACCAAGAGAACCCCAAAGTCGCGCAAAGGAGGTCACTTTATTTCTGAGCCGTTGGTGGTCTCGCGGAGCAAGGGAAGGAAACCCCAAAAAGGGATGGATCCAGCCAAACAAAACATGGGCATATACAAGCGAAACAAAGAATGGAGCGCCGGGGGGGGGGGAACGATTTCCCAGTTGGGGGGCTGATACCGCCGTTCCCCTCCAAGTTGGAAGCCAATGTGGATAGTGGCACACATATCATATTCCCCCAAAATGTCCGTCGTGCCTGCAACATCTTCCCAACGGTTTGCGTTGCTCAAGCTTGAACCCGATGTTTATGGTTGCAAACACAATCAATCTCTATATATATATATACATGTATCCCCCAGACATTTCGGTGACCCTCCGAAGAAAAAACAAGTTGACTTGGCATTGGCACATTTAAACACAACTATCTTATGTCCTCCTACAATCGGAACTCAACTTGGATGGATCACGCCTGGTGCCTGGCATGCGGAGTTTGATTTTGTAGCCAGCAGGAAGGATATTAGGGTGTGTGCTTCTTTTTTTGAGGCCTGGGGAAGTTTTGCTTTTGGGTTGCTTGGGGACATTGCCGCTTCGGGTCTCCAAGGGACATCAAGGGCAATCCGCATTGCCACTTGGGGTCCCCACCTCAAAATCCATCAGCACTTTCTTGCTGAGATCATGAACCTGGCCGATGCCTTGGCCTACACATGTCGCTTGGCCTGCCTTCAGCAGATCTGGTTGTGCATTTGTTCCTGTTGGTTCCGCCAGGGTGAATGTAGCTGGCACAGTTCCCTTTATGTGCGCAAGGAAAGGCGGTGGCTGAACCAACATGGGGTGATTCTGCCATCTACTTTCACCCAGGAGATGGTCGCTGGAAAAGCAGACTTATTTAGATTGCGAGGGAACTTTTGGCATTGTCGCATGATGCAGACAAATGCTTGAATGGCCTTGACTGGGAAACAACAAATCGATATGGCTGTGTTTTCTTGTTGAGGGTTTGCCCTTTTGAGGGTTGTTTTAAAGGGAAGGACAAAAATGTGCAGCCACCTGGCTATGAATTTTCATGGACCCCCCCCAAGGTTGGTGGACGTAAATCCCCATCTCAATGAACACCAAAGGGTCCCAATACACATGCGTTGCCTTGTCTCGAAATTAGAGATCCCGAAATGGTTGGCGTCCTTTTTCCGTTGAGCCAAAAACGATAGCCCCCATATGGCTCTGTCTTTTTCATGGGCAAACGCATGGAGGTGCATTTTCCGTTAAGGCCCCAACTTCATGTCCTGCTGCAAGGTTTGGGGATTTGAACCCCTGGCCTTTGTAGGGGGTAAAAATTCGGAAACCAGCCCTGAACCACCAATCCAAACCACCCTTTTGGGGGATGCTGGAACCGTGTTGCGGCCGTAAATGGAACAAGGACTAAAACATGCGGTCCATATCCTGGTGGATGAAAGTTGATCGAACTTCATTTCCTGCCGTCGACCGCCACCAATCCAAACGACCTTTTTTGGGGGATGCTGACACCGGTGTTTGGTTGGAATTGTCCAAAACGGAGTTTTGCTCGCTTGGTCGCCCCCCAACTTCATTTCGCGCCGTTTTGGCAAATGTACAGTTTTTGGTTAGTAATTACCGTTTAACACAAAAACTGTAAACAGGAACGGGCCAAAACCCGGTGGCGTTTTCTTAGGTCGCCCAACTTCGTTCAGATAATTTTGACCCACCATTTGAGGTGGCCAGGAATCCGAGGAATCCCTGAGGCCATGGATTCCATGTCCTTTGCAGGTTGGCAGTGCAGTTTTTGGCCTTAAACTGGAATGGGCTGGTGGCGTTCTTGGGTAATTAAGTCCCCCAACTTCTCCTTCCGCAAGGCTTGGGGAGTTGAACCTGTCAAATTTACGACCGAACCCCGGCGTGATTTCCCCGGTTCGCCCGCAGATGAAACCCTGTCAGGCTTTTTGGGGGATGCTGAAATTTAAGACCCACAGGGCTCCAAATCGGATGCTGAAACCTCAACTTGTCCCTTCTTTTGTTTTAAGGATTGAACCCCTGGCCTTAGGGTACAACAACTAGAAACTTTTTTGGGATGCTGAAACCCATGTTTTGGTTTGACCCTCGTGGTTGGATGCTGAAGCCCAACTTCCTGCGGTTGGCCACCACTCCAAACCACCTGTTTTTGGGGGGGAGGCTGAAACCCATGTGTTGGGCCCTCTGGTGGTATGCTGAAGCCCAACGTCCCGTGAGGTTGTGGTCCACTTTGGCAAAATTGGGGGAGGCTGAACCCCATGTTTTGGACTGCTCTAATGACCCACAGTCCAAACCCCTTGGCCCTTTGGGATGCTGAAGCCCAACGTGGCCGGTGAGGTTGGCAGATGTACGAGCAGCAGCCCACCGGCATCTCCCCGGAGCGGGTCAAGGGCGAGGCCATGGACCTCAGCGCCCCGGACGACTCGAGGGGTCGACTCACGGCGCGGGGTGCGGGGGGGGGGGGGAGGGGGGTTATCGCTTTGGATAGGGGGGAAGACCTCCCCCAAAAGGGGGCAAAGACAGAAACAGGTTGAGGAAGGGACACATGTTTGTGTTTTTCTGTTCTTTTTGTGGGGGGGGGGGTAGTTTTGAGGGTGCGGGGGAGATTTTAAGGAGCTTACCAGTTGGTTTGGAGCCCCCTGATCAGGTGATTGTGTTTATGGTTGGTGGTATCCTTTTGGACATATTACCGTGGGACACCTGTTGAGTCAACTTAAATTTAAAGGGACTAGCGTTTTGAGGTGTTTTTTGATGGGGTCCTGTTTATAGGTTGGGCATCAACTGGTGGGGTAAAGGGTCCCAACCCCCAACCTCCAAGAGAGAGCAAACCTAAGGCAAAACCAACACCCGGGAGTACATCTTGCGGCCTGAGGCGGCGGAGGGATGGTGGTACATGCTGGAGCTCACCGAAGACGCAAAGTACCGTGAGCCTCCGTCGCAAAAAGTTTCTCAGGGGTTTTTTGTTTAGTTTGAAACTGGTTGTTTACGGTTTTGTTTGGTTTGCTTCGCTTTTTTGGTGTTTGCGTCATTTGTTTTCGTTGGCTGGTTGGCTGGCTGGCTGGCTGGCTGGCTGGCTGGCTGGTGGGTTGGTTGGTTGGTTGGCTTGCTTGCTTGTTGCTTGTTGCTGGTTTGCTTGGTTTGCTTGGTTTGCTTGGTTTGCTTGCGTTAGTTGCTTCGCTTGCTTTGCTTGGCTCCGACCGAACTGGTCAAAGTCAATCTGCGCTGAGGTAGGCATGGCCAAGCCTCCAATTCGAAGAGCTCCGTTAGAGTCCTGAGACCTTTTGCATTAGAGACTTGCTTGCCCTTCGCTTTGGTGGTTGTAGACAAGACGGAACCGCACAAACTCAACGACTTTGACAAAGGGTTTTTTTTGCGACCTCAGGAATCCTGGTGAAGTTTTCCTTCACATTGAAACCCATTTTAGGTTGATAAATTGTGTAGTAAATCACCTGAATTGAACTATCAGCATTGCTGCGTGAACATAGTGTCCGGGATCGGCACAGCTTCAGGACAGCCAACCATGGTTGGATGGCTTTAGATTGTGTTTCAGAGCCCCTTGGCATAGAATACAAAAATAGATACACAGAAAACAAAATAAATAAGATTATACAAATTCCACATAGATTTCGGTCGTATGAGCATTTGCTATAGAAAGCTGAACTTGATTTATCACTTTTGGTTCTAGGTCCCTGGGATGGGGAAGGCGCTTTTCAGGAGCCGGCCGGGTTTTCATTTGGCTCAGGAGTGGGGCTGGAAGGCTTTCCTGGCCTTCGAGAAATGGCTTTGGGTGCCCCACGGCTACGCGTCCCTGAAGGCGGACACAATCTGTGGCCTCCTCTTGGCTTCGTTTGGTTTCCAGTTCTTTTTTAGATCCCAACTTGCCCAGTTGTGATTTATCTCAAGGGGAACCCCCATTTGGTTTCCTCGTTTCCATTGAAACCAACCAACAAAACGGGACTGAAGAAAGGAGCGACGCCCAACCATGGGTGATTTTGGCTTGCCGATTCAACGAGCTCACCGATGCGGCGGATTTTACACCAGCGAACGCCTTCAGGGTTCTTTACCTGTGAATGATGCTAGAAAATGAATGATGTTTTAGAATGATGCTAGAAAATCGGGGCAGGGGGGCAGGGGGGGTCCAAAAATTGGGGTTGTTGCTGTTTTGGTCTTCCCTTCTGAAAGGCGGCGCCAGAATGTCGAACGGGACCCTGGTTTTCCAACCGACCGGCTTGTCGACCTCCATTTATGTTTTATGGGTCCTCAAAAACATGGTAACATTTCCAGGTGTGTGGGTGTGTGTTTCTTGTTATTTACCTTTTTTTTCCACTCAGGGAAACCAAAGAGAAAGGCCCCCGTGTTTCGGGGCGCCCAAATGTTTGATCAAAGTTTCCTGATTGTCTATGCTTCATGTTGGAAATGACATGGGGGGAACGAGCTCGAGTCCGACAGAAACCGGAGCACGAAAAGGTGCTATGTCGTGGGGAAAGAAGCAAATTTGGCTGTTGCTTTGTTTCTGGGGAACAATGCTAGGTCCCCTTTTACCTTTTTTGGGGGGAGGGTTCCCCTACTAAAATAGACTACGGAAAAAGCAAATTTGGGCACCAACTCATCCCAACCTCAAACCACTGGAGGACCTAGAATGAAGGAGTTGGCAAAGAACTCAGACGAGGCCTGGTCGTATTCCAGGAACCAAGTGATTCTTCAGGTCCCCCCTTGCCGATGCTATGTGGTCAAAAGTGACTGGTCTATGCATTGGGGAAGGGGAGCGAGCCACGGGCGAAAAATTCAGGACGTGCGCTCAACCAGCAAGACCTACCTGGACCGCATGGAGAGTTTTTTCATCGCGGAGACCCAGAAGTACTTACTCTTGCTGCAGGCAGATCCCTTCCCTGAACCAAAAATTGAAACGGTCTTTGAACATCCAGGCCCAACCCTTGCAGGGAAAACAAAAGGAGAAAGGAGGCTAATTAGCCACGCCCAATCATGGCTTCGGCCGTCGCTGTTTGTTTTGTTTGGAGACCCTGAACATGCTTAAGTCAAAACACAGACGCAACCTGAGTTTTCAGTTTACTGCTGAGATAAGATAACCACCATTCCTTTTCTGTTGTAAAGGGCTTGGCCCCGTGTCTTTTTTTTTTTCTTGGAGGTTCAGCCAGCCAGTTTAAGTGACAAAAGCATCGATGAGTTTCATCAGCGCCAGCAGTCCGACTGAAATCTGACCCAGGGATCGCAAGGGGGGATTTTGCGGGGATGGGTTTGCCCGATGCAATGGGGATATGGACCCCTTTTAGAAGAAAAAAGGCCTTGCGTTGCAGGAATGTTCACCTAAAGCAAAGATAATGCATGTTAGACAATCCTTTAAGACGATTGGGGGCCTGCTGGTTGTTCGATCCAGAACTGATTTTTGGTTGGAGAAAGTAGAACAACTCCAAACGTCCTTGGGGTCTCCGGCAGACAATTGCTTGACCTGGAAATATCGCGGTCGACCTACATGACGACAGGATGTCAAATAAACAAGTAGCATTGTCTTTTGCTTGTGGAGAAAGAAAGGACAGCGACCGCCAATCCACCAAAGCCAGAAGGATTTGTGCAGGATGTGGACCATGAGATGAAGCTGGATCGTTATGTCTTCAACACGGAGGCACATCCGCTGTCCATCCTGAAGTGAGTGGCATTCACTTTCCCAAAGGATTTAGCGCTCAAAGGCTGCTTGTATAAGCCCCCACACGAATTCCAAACCCATGACTGTGTTGAGTTGACATGCGGATGGTGTTCCACAATGACGCAATGTTAAATGCTTAGTTGTATCCGTGTATATAAACATGAGTAAATACATTCAGCCTTTGATTCAGCAGCGCCCAGAATTCATGTCGCCAAAAGAGGTCCGGAGTGGGTCGTGCGTGGGTGCGGCAGGGCAAATGAAGAACGCCATGTCGGGTTTCATGACGCTGAACCAGAATCGCCAACGGGTCTTGGGCCCCAAGACCTGTTTCCTGGAGTAGACTTATAGGTACATTTCACATTTTTCCAGTGACTCAAAAGGGAAGCAAACCATAGAATCTACATTCTACCGGGCCTGGGTCTAATCATGTCTATTTCGGGGGCCTTGACCTGTTTCGGGTCTTAAAAGGGACCGGTTGGGGCGCTTGGACTCTCGAAGGCCATGGTTTGCGACCAGTGGGAAACCTCTGCATCGTGGATGTTGCCCCAGAAACTTTTGGGACTCAAGCGCAAGGCCCGCATTGCCCCGCAGGCAAGATGAAGAACTTCTGATCAAGAATTTCGAGTCATTCATCGGGGGGGGTGATTCCTCTAAAACACAAGGATCACCACGGCAAAGGGACACCGGTACTGATAGTGTTGACCCTTGAGCAGTACCAGCCCAGCTTTGAGTCAAAACTGGGCCCCTCAAACTGGCGGCTTGCCTTTGGAACTCCCCTATCCACCCGCAAGCGCGAATCGAAACCGAAAGCGCCAAAGGTACCTCTTCTAAATTGGCTTGAAAGGGAAACCCACGGGAAAGCACTCACGTTTGAGGTATATTCTTTGTTGCATGTTGCTTGGATGTTAGGACTGTAGCTTTTTGCCAACGAATGGGTTTTGCATTAAACCACTAAAAGTTAACAACTTTTAGCAGGGGAGCAGAAAGCAACCGAGTTTTGGACACAAGCAAGCACAAAGCATTTCAAGGAGTGTTGCCCAGGGAAAACGGCTGGTTTTGAAAAGAACAATGGTTGAAAAGAATGGACAAGGAATCAACCGCTGGGCATTCTTCGTCTGGGCTGTCCGTTTTCTGATCCCCTGCTACAACTAGGTCCTCCAGTAGAGAGGTCAGAAGAAGGGTACCGTTTCTTTTTCTGTAGTCGATTTTAGTAGGCATGAGAGTCTTGCTGTCTGGACTGGCAAAGTAATATAAAGATTGGACTTTTTTGGGCCATCCACTCAGCCAGTGTGATATCAAGGTTGTGCCTCCTTCCCCTTTCACCATTAGGATCCGGAGAATCTTCATGGGGGACACCGTCACAGAGCGGAAGGACACACATCCCCTTGTAAGTGTCCAACTGTCCCCAAGGGCTTCGGGAAAAAGAAAAACCAACATGACATACTGTGGGTGGACAAAATCCTGCATTGGAACCATAGGAGACCATTGCGTGTTGGTATTTGCCGGGGAATCATCATTCCAGGGCTTCTGAACGGTGGTGCGAATTGGATTTCGTCCATCCACAGTAGGGAAAACAAATTTAAACAAAAACAAATCCCCCCCCCCCGCCAACATAGGGGAATTGGCGCTGAGTCCGGAACTTCACCTTCATGACCTGCACCACGCCCGTGCGCAAGCTGAACATCGCCTGGCCCGAGCCGCAGGAGGCTTTCGCGCAAAGTCGTTTTTGTTGTTTTTTTCCTCGGCGGACACGGGAGAGAGACTTCCTGGGCGGTTATTATTAATATTATTATCATGATTATTATTATTGTTATCATCATTATTAGTATTATTATGACTATCATCATTGTGAGTATTGTCATTTTTTGTGTGGTGCTTTTGAAGGGAATCTATCACCACTGGAAATATGATTTGTGCTACTGGGACTGGAAGTATGTTTTTGCGTTTTTCTCGGTGGACCGAAGCAAATGGAGGGTAGTTGGGTTGTTCTTTTAGTGTTCGTAAAGGACAAGATTCGGGGTCATGATTTGGGCCGTTTCTGCAATTCGGCAAACTTAGACATGTGTGTTTATGTTCTTTTAAACCACCACATAGGTGTTGCTTTAGTCATGGCAACAAAATGAGGCTGAAAGTAACAGGGGAGGAGGGCGGGATCTTGATAGTTGTATATCCAACAAGTATGATATTGACCACTTCCACATGTGGCCAATGCATGATTCAAATTGACAACGGTTTGGCAGAGCGTAACCTCAACAGGTTTGTAGACTCATGGTTCGTTCTGGGAATGGTTCCTGGCAACCTGATTGGAGAATTTCTCTCGTTGGATTGGCGCTGGCGCCAGAGGACGTTTTCTCCCTGTTGAGCTTTCTGCTTGCTTGACACGCTTGGACATCCCACCGATTGCCAATTCCCACAAACAAGATAGACAGGGATAAAGATATGGATCAGCTGTTGACAACTTGATGGAGATGCTACAGCAAGATTTGCAGCTGCTGCCCAAACTCTGTGAGCCTGTGGGAGCGATCATACTCCTCAGACACGGCTCATTCGCCATGGATTGCACTACTACTTGTTCATTTGCCCAACGCTAACCTTTTTTGGTGTGTGTTCAGTCAATGTTTGACACGGCAAACCGTTGTTTCTTTTTTTTGCAAGATCTTTGGGCATCGGCATTACCTTCCCCTTCCCAAACCCTATCCCGATGAGAGTCACCGAGGGCGTGGGCAGGTCTCAAGATCAACTTGCCTTCCTTCAGTTCCAAGTGGTGCGTGTCCTTTGAGTTGTCTGAGTTTCAACTCACAATGTCTGTGATGTTCTTTGCTACTGTCCGGGTCACACAACTGGGCCAATCTCCAATGAGTGATTGTTAAAAGGAATAAAGGTAATAACAACCACAAATCCCAGGAATTTTGCAAAGCCCTTTGGCAATTATGGGGGAGGGTTCCCCTACTCAAATAGACTACAGAAAAAGGGCACTCTTATTCTAACCTGTCTACTGGAGGACCTAGAAAAAGAAGAAAGGTATTAGCAACCACAAATCCAAGGATTTTTGCCAAGCCCTTTGGCAATTGCGAGAGTCGAAGCCTTGGTTTTTCGTTTTTTTCGTTTGGCCCGTCGGCAGGTCCACATGCGGGAGCTGATTGTGGAGAACCTGGACACCGGGCCGCAGCCCCAGGCTCTGCGACAGTGCCCTCTGTGGCGACAGTGGTCTCTGTGAAGACATCATGCAAACCATTTGGCGTGGATCCGGATCAGCGTTTCGGCTACTTCTTCTTCCGGCGCAAAAAAGACTCCATGTCTGCGCCTTATCCTTGCAGGGCGAACCAAATTGCTGGGGTCTGCCCGCACGAAGCTCGGCGACTTTCGTCACGCCCAAAGGATCTGAAGCATGCCCAGCTGGTGCCGCCTGCGCAGAGAACGTTGGAGTTGTAGGTCCCCCAGCAATTGGTGCCCCTTTGACCCGTTTCTTTAGTAGGGGGGAGGGGTCGGTTCCCCTAAAATAGACAAAACCTAAAAAACAAAAAAGAAGAAGAAACGGTACCCTTATTCTAAGCTCTCTACTGGAGGACCTAGTGTCAGTTTTGGGTCCTCGGTTGTTTGTTTTGTTACGGCAACCCCAAAAGTTGGTGATCAGCTTGTACGTCCAGGTCCTGGATAATGCCCATGTCACAAGATGCCTTAACCCGGTCCAGATTCGCCGAGTTGTTCTGAGAGAACTCGGGGATGAGGCAGTCTTTGGCATGGACAGTCGATGCCCCCCTTGTTTCGGGCCCAACTTGTAAAACTCCACATCCCCATTTGCTTGCTTGGGGGGGCAGTTGCCAACCAAAGCAAAAGGAGGTTTCTTCCTCAAATTCCCTCCCACTGCAACAAGCAAGCAGCAAGGAGGTTGTGAGGGTGTTGCTCAAAACAGGTCTTGTGAGGACGTCTCAGGTAGAATCAGACACTATGCTACTTTTAGAGGCAGCATTCGACTAGATACTTAGTATCAACTAGAATCAGCTCGCCAGGCTCGTCCTTTCCATTTCGCTATATGCCGCTCCCTTTCCAGAGGGTCCCAGAGGACCAATGCACGGCTGAAGTGGTTGGGGTCTGGGGGGTCCTTATTTGGATATGGTGGGTCAAAAAATAGGTACCAAAATGGAACCCTGGTAAGTGGAAACATGGACCAACACCTGCGTAACCCCTCCTGGTTAATTTTGAGCCACACCCATATGGCTGTGGGTCAAAACTGTTTTGGTACCATCTTGGGGTAGGTGAATTCACCACCCATTTTTGGCTTCCTATTTTATTGGTTGGATTGAATCGGATGTTCACTGGGGGTACGATTTGGATTTTGACCCGTGGCCATATGTGTTTAGATGAGCCCGAACAAATGTGGTATTCCTTTGGTTTCCTTTTCAAGCCAACCCAAAAGCAGGTAGCCTGCAACAAACGGCCACACCCATTTGGATCGGTCTCGACGTGCGCGAATGACGCCTCAAGGCTTTATCAGGCGCACAGCTTCGAAAAGATGGAGCTCTACGGCTGGGGCTTTCCAGCCCGGAGCCGCAGATGCCTCGCCATGGGAGATTTTTTTGGTGCATGTTGCTTGGATGTTAGGACTTTAACACGTTTGCCAACTATTTGTTTGTTTCCAACTGAACCACTAAAAGTTAAACTTTTCGCAGGGGAGCAGAACGCAACCGAGATTTGAACACCAAAATAGTGCTTTTCGTTTCCACACAGAGAGACAGACACAGACACTCAGACACCCAGAAGACACCCAGACATCAGAAGACAAGCAGACTACCAGCACCCAGAAGACACGCAGACACCCAGAAGACACGCAGACACCCAGAAGACACGCAGACACCCAGAAGACACGCAGACACCCAGAAGACACGCAGACACCCAGAAGACACGCAGACACCCAGAAGACACGCAGACACCCAGAAGACACGCAGACACCCAGAAGACACGCAGACACCCAGAAGACACGCAGACACCCAGAAGACACGCAGACA